AAAGATGACAACAAATTTTTTCTTGTGTTTCATCATTGTTGAGTATAAAAAAATTTGAAAGTTAATCTCACCGATTTCAAATATTTTTTTTTCAACTCAAATACATAGATTATAAGATAAGGATGTCTTTGAATATTTTTTTTAATTTACATTATTTGTCGTTTTAAAAAAATCACTATTACTAACAAACTGATATGATATTCGAATTTGAATTAGAATGCAATTTGAGTAGTTTGCATTGAGGTTAAGCCAAGTATGGTGTCGAAAAATAAACTACTTGATAATTTAAGATAATATATACAATGTTTTATAATAATAATCAACTAATTTAACATCTAATGATTCAAAGAACAGATTTTTTGTATATATAGGATATTAAAAATTCAAATTCTGGGGCTAGAGATATCGATAAACTTAAAGTGGAGTCATACTGAAATAAATCCGGCCAAAGAATCATTTAAATTTTTAGATAGCCGATAAAAGTGAATTTTAAATTAAGAATAATATCTTCACTTGCATCATTATAAAGATAATCGTTATTATAATATATATATATATATAATATTTTAGAAATTGAAATTTCAAAGTAGAAATATTTTTTTTAAAATAAAATCATACAAAATAAGAGTTCAAATCGTAGCATAAGAGTCACGTTGTAATCAAAGAATCATTTATATCGTGTCAACCTTTGTGTTTTGCCATAAATATGAATTACTATTTCACTTTGTGGTTATTTTTTAGTTCCAATGACACCTCTGAGAATAGTGCAAAAATAAAATTATCACTACGAGAATTGAGAAAATGTTAGTCTTTTTTCATGTAGTATTTCTTAATTAATATATGACGATTATCTATAATTATTTAGAAGGTTTAAATGTTAAAGTTATTTACATATAATTCAAAAAACTCAGATATTTAACATGGTTAGTGTCAAATATCAAAATGGAGTAAAAAAATTCACTAGCTAAAGAATTTTTTATATTTTTAGATAGCTAACTAAAATGGTTTGAATTAAGAATAATATTTTCAATTACATTATTATAAAAATAATTATTATTGAAAAATAATATTTTAGAAACTGAAATTTTGAGAAAGAAATATTTTTAAGAGATATCAACACATCAAATAAGAGTTCAAGTAGTAGTAAAAGAGTTAAGTCCTATCCAAAAAGTCATTCATTGTCTCAACATCTGACTATTTTTAGGATCCAATGACACCGGCAAGAATGATATCAAAAAAGAAAAATAGAAGAAATGATTAATATTTTTTCATGTAATTAATATCTAATGATTATCAATATTTACGAAGAAAGTGTAAATTTTAAAATTATTTACATACAATTCAAATAATTTAAATATTTGACATGATTAGTGTCCGCGCGTCCACGCGGGTACTAATACTAGTAGTAATGAAAAAGTCACGAGAAAAACATTAACAACAACGGGATAACAAGGTCCAAGTGAAATACAGGTAAAATATGTCAATTTGGAATTCACAGAATTAGCAACGGATTGCCGGCCGTGCCGGCTTTCGGGCCCGGTAAAAACCTAAAACACCAAATGGAAAGGAATGAAAGAAAGAATTGGGTTTTGGGGCAGTCAAAAAATAATGGAGAAATTAAATAAGCTCACGAGTATTCCCCCATGTCCACTACTTAGCCAGCAACGCCATTAACTATTTATTTATTTTTAGGTATATGAAAGATGTGACTCTTTTAGAGGAAGGCAGGCCATGACTAGGCAAAAGCCAATAGTACCAACAACTAAAAGTGGGGAAAATATACCATAAAAAGTCAAAGTTGAGAGTGCAAGTATTTAAGACAAACATGAGAAAGTTGGGAGCATAACTTTTTATTCATTTTGATTACTAAGTCAATATTTAATGCGATAAGATTAGCTTTCACGTTAAATATTTTATTGGTAGTTTTTATTTTGTAGGCCAGACAATCTTAGTTTTGACTATTGTACAACAGTTTAAAGACAATCTAGTGTCATTATGGCAGTCTGCTTAGATTAATTATCCTTGATTTGTTTCTGTGTTTATTCCATTATAGTCGATAATCAACAGTATTGAGTTATAATTAAAAAAAACGATAGCCACAAAACTACAATTCATTAACCATTAACTTTTAACTATTAAAAATAAACAAGATCCACACTCATGAATACAAAACGAACAATATAGATGATGTTTGGCCAACAGAATTTTAAAAGAAGAATAGCCTATTCCTCTGTTATCAACTAGAATAGAGATCTGTAGACGAAAAAAATAGAGAAATTAAGAGTGGACACCTAGTAAAGTTATGACATTGAAGTCTGATTATCTGTTTAAATTCATATATGAAAGGTTTTTGGAGCTTATTCTCAATATTTAAAAAAAAAAAAAAAAGG